GATAATAGATAGATAGATAGATAGATAGATAGATAGATAGATAGATAGATAGATAGATAGATAGATAGATAGATATAGAGAGACAGACAGTACGATAGAGACAGACAGACAGACAGACAGAAAATAGATGATGCGTAGATGATAGACAGACAGACAGACGATAGATGATGATACATAGATGATGGATGGATAGATGCATAAATAGATACATAGAGACAGACAGACAGACTGATGATACATAGGCAATGGATGGATGGATAGACAAACAGACAGACGATAGATGATGCATAGGTGATATAGGATAGATGGAGGGAGAGAGAACTGTATCCTGTTCAGAAATTAAAAACAAGAAAGAACACTTAGTATTTTTGGATTTCAGATTTCTATTATTTTAGATTTATTCTGCTGTTTTGACCCCTTTTCCTTGCCATGCAGTGCTGGGTCAGCAAGAATGGGTCATTTTCTCACACTTAGTACCCCTAACAAGTACAGATATAGGCGACACCTTTTAACACCAAATAATAACACAAAAGGGGCTTTTTATAACTCTCTGCCTAAAGCGTTCCCTAGCAGGATCTTTTGTTTATCATCAATCAGGCTTTGAAGGAGTTGGAAATAAAAGGAAACCAAGCACACGCCTCTCTCTCTTGGCCAAGGGCCCTTCAGAGGTATGAGCTCATGGTTGAAAAAAGCCTTACATTATGAATCCCTTTCAGTGTAGCCTCCAAAGCAGCTGTTGGCAGAAGCTGTGGTGTCATTGTCTTTTATGAGCACCCGCAGCAGAAACACTGACAGTACCCATGTTTTTCTTTATTATCCCAGAAAAGGGACAGATGTAAGATCTCTCACGCTTTACATTTTAGCAAGAAATATAGAAGCATTATTCCTTTTTTTTCTGAGGATCAATCCAGAGGTAAACCTAAGTTTAGATGGTATTCACAAGCTCCCTTCTAAAACTAAAGCCAAATCAACTCCAGGTGCACTCAAGCAGGTATTGTAAGCAGAAATAAGAATACGGATATCACACCTGGAAGAATGTTAGCGTACGCTGGACTTTATTAGGGAAATACCAGAGATGCTACTTTCTGTCCAGTCCTTAATTTAGAAACTACTCTAAACTTTAATGATTGGCAGCTTTGGCGAGAAAAGCATCTTGAGAAGAAGAAATCATTGCAATCATGAAAGCTGAATTTACATTTCAACTTCTTGTCCCTCCTTTGAGATTACTTGATGACTGGCACATCATTCAATTTATTTAACCTAGATCAATGTTTCTCCACCTTGGAGCTCTCGCCTCACAATCAGGAGGCTGTGAGTTCGATCCTAGGTAAGAGGCAGATATTTCTCTCTCTGGGCACAATGAGAATATATCTGCTGAACAAAACTCCACATTGGCAACAGGAAGGGCACCCGGCCATTAAAATGCTCTGCTCGATCCATTCAGTTGCTCAGACTCCACCGCGCAAGGGATAATGGGGGTTGTTAAATGATTATGATGTTTCTCCACTTTGTCAACTTGAAGTGGTGTGGACTTCAGCTCCCAGAATTCCCCAGCCAGCATGAAGTCCACAATGCTTAAAGTGTCCAAAGATGGAGATTATTGTTAGGTATTGTAACTCCCAAATGGGTTTTGACATTTTCACTTTGGGAATGTTAAATTCAACCAATCCTAAAGATCATCGTCTTTCTCACTTTCAAATAAACGTGAAAACAGATGAAGGGAAATGGTGCGTTGCTGATCGACAGACCTACGTCTATCTGTTCTTGAATCCTGGCCATTGCCTACAAAGCTTCTGAAAAGTTGAAAGACTCCATCACCTGCAAACAAAGTGGCAGGACCACTTTCCTGGTATCACGGGAGAAAGAATCCATCCCTCATTACTTCACTTTGGTATTGACTAAATGGTCACCCTGGTCAATCATATACTCAGGTTGATGGTTTATACGAAGGCAACCAGGTATTCCACATCCTGGGGGTCATCTAATGAAAGAACACTTTGGAACCTATCCCAAAGGTGCTTTTTCAAGAGGTAAACTGGACTTTCTGGTTTTTCTCTGACGAAGTTTTGCTTCTCATCCAAGAAGCTTCTTGCGTAAGAAGCGAAATGTCTTCCAAGAAAAACCAGAAAGTCCAGTTGCCTCTTGAAAAAGCACTTTTGGGACAACCATGAACCTGGATGACCGAGAATCTCCATAGACACTGTCATGCCCCTGTCGGAATCTGATTCGGAAGGGGAGGCCAAACAGCCGACAGGGAGTGGGAGTGTGGCTCCACTGGCTGTGGAGGAAACTGGGCAAGGGCAAAGTTCGGCTGGGTAGAGCAGGGGAGAGGTAGAGCAAGAGAGAAGGAATTCAGAGGAAGACCCAGGCCCACCCTCTCTTCATCCTAGGACACGCAGGGAGGAACGGAGAAGGGAGCAACGTGAGTTGCATGGCTTATGGGGGAGGAAGGGCCCTGACTCCCTTCATTAGCTGCACCTGGGAACACAGTGTTTAAAAAGGGAAGCTGCTCGCAGTAACTTGTTGGGAGCAAATCGTGAATTTATCTGGTATCATCGTGGCTTATCTGTATTCCTGGCATCTTCCCAACTGTGTGGGTGTTGCCGTGCTTTCAAGTCTGAAAGTCTTTCTCCTGCCCTGTCAAATTAATTACTGCAGCTTTGTTTGTTTGGATTTTTAGTTACAGTCTGTATGTACCTTGTTTTGGACTGAATTTTCTACAGTTAAAGGCTGTTCCTGGGAGAGTTTTCTCCAGCCGAAGCTAACCTGGCCGTTGGAGGCAAAGTTGGAGATAATAAAGGGACTCTTCTTGCTTATTTGACTGTGTTGCCTTTGTGCCACACCACGGGTCATCACAGACACTTCAGAAGCTAGATGTGAATCTTCAAGAGATACTCATCCCTTAAAAGAGAAAAGGCAGCCCAACTGTACTGCCTGAACCATTTTCTCCGAGGTAGACACCGACCTTGCATCTGCATGGCCGAAGGAGACTTCTTCATGGGTGATGCCACCCTTAGGAAGATCCTCTGCCGCCAGGAGATCCGACGGGAGGCCAGGGTGAGACCACCAGCATTTAGAGAGTCGCTGCTGCACACCGAGGAAGTCCTCTTCCTTTTCTCCACATCGCTGCAGGAAGGACCAGGAGGAAGAAAACACAACACAGGTCACTAAAAAAAACAGCCCATCTTGGGAACACTGAGCTGTGGCCCATCCAAAGCCAGCAAAAGCATTCATACACCCAAGATTGCATTCAGTCACCAGGCCCAGAGATTTCATGGGGGGACCTGCCATCATTTCAACCCAAGAGAACCTCCAATGGCACATGACAACCACAAGAAAACCTGCTTGCTTGCCTTCTTCACTGCCAAAGAGACCCTTCCTTTTTTTTTCAGCTCTTTACAGGGGTGGGCTTCAAAAATTTTAGCAAAGGGTTCTCTGCCCAGTTGCTGGGTGGGTGTGGCCTAGTCGGCCTCCTACACCATGGCAGCGGGGGGGGGGGGGGCATTTTGGGCCTCCCCGGATTCCGGAGGCTTTCTGGAAACGAGCCCATTTCCGGCCTTTTTGAACTTCCAGGAGGCCCATTTTTCACCCTCTCCGAGCCTCTGCACACACCCTGCACTTACCTGCATCCCAAATGGACCGCATGGGGAATCCTGAGAGGGGAGGGGCAGGGTGGGTGGGGCCAGCCAGGGGTGGGATTTGGGGGTTCTCTAAACTGCACGGAATCTTAGCTACGGTCTCACCTGAACCCCTGCAAACCCCCAGCGGTCCACCCTTGATTCTTGACTACAATTTCGTGTACTTGAAGTTAACCTACGTCTCAGTCCAGGATTTGATTTTTTCAGTCCTGGAGCTAAAACCCGTTCTATAAAAGGGTCTCAAACCAAAACTAAAAAAAGGAAGCGATCTTAAAAAAAAAAAAAAAAAAAGATAATTGAGTTAAAAAGGAGGAGGAATACATGAGTTTGAGAGACGCAACATTTCGGGTATTTTTTTTGTTTTTAAAGGAAGCTGCACTGAAGCATCGAAAAGAATCACCTTTTTTGGTAATTGGAAGAGGGAATTGGTTTCCTCCTACACAATTGTGGGAAGTCGCCAAATAGACCGGGCTTTAACACTTTGGTGGCTCTTTCCATAAAGCAAAACACACTTGTGTTTATTTGCAAAAAGCGAGAGAGACCGGGCTCCCTCGCAAAGGTTATGAAAGCTGAGCGGAGAAACATAAACATTTCAAAAACCCCAGAGAAGCATCAGGGCTGGAAGAGATGGAAGAGATTCAAGGACCTTCCTCCACGGTACTCCTGGGAGAACTTTTCTGGAGGCCTTTTTCTTTCTTCTCCTCCCTCAAGGGAAAGGCTGGACATGAATAAATAGATGGTTTAAAAAAAAAATAAAGCAAGTAACCAGGGCTGAACCGCCATCTCTAAAAATCTGTCTCTCCTGCAGTTACAACAAGTTGAAGTCCACCTCTTTAGGGGTAAAGGTGCCCAGGTGTGTCTAGGTAGAAGTGCTCAACTCCGTTTCTTAGCCGAGGGAGCCAGTGTTGCCTGAAGACAATTTCCATGGTCGTGCAGCTGGCATGACTATAGGCCAAGGTGCACCAGAACCAGTGATGGGATTCTACCAGTTTGGTAGGGAACCTAATGCACACAAACGCACAGGCAGCTTTCCAAACACCAGTTAAGGCTCTTCCGCACCAATTAGCTGAGAGGATAAAGAACGCGCTTTTTGCGCGTTGGAGATCCTGCGCTTTTCTCTTCTTTCTCCTTTCAGCTGATCATCAGAGCTTTTTTTTACTACTGGTTCAGCCAAACCGGTAGCAGAGGTGATATTCAGCAGGTTCTGACCAGTTCTGGAGAACCGGTAACGGAAATTTTGAGTAGTTCAGAGAACCGACAAATACCACCTCTGATGAGGGGTTTTACAGTATCCTTCCCCTGCCACGCCCATTAAGCCACACCCACAGAACCGGTAGTAAAAAAAATTGAATCCCACCACTGGCCGGTAGCTATTGATTTGGCCGAACTGGGCTAAACCAGTAGCATTTCACCACTGCACAGAATGCTGTTACCTTCCCACCGAAATGGTACCTATTTATCTACTCGCATTTGCATGCTTTTGAACTGCTAGGAGGGCAGGAGCTGAGAAATGGAAGGGGAGTTCACCCCGTCATGTGACACTCGGGGTCTTGAACCCTGGATGTCAGCTGACAAGCTCAGTGCCTTTAACCACTGAGCCATCAAGCCCCCACCAGCTTTCTAATAAAAGTTTAAATCTTCAACAGCCATAGGAATGGTTGAACAAGAACAATAAGGGAGAAAAAACCTATAGGCATAGCTCACCAGTCCTAAAATGGTTAGGAACAGCAAACTTCCAAAAAGGGAATTAGCAGTATCAACAATTTGGCTTTAAATTGCCCCTGAAGCTATAATTCAAACAAGCATTCAGATAAGCTCTTCTGGAAGTTAAATATGTTTACAGTTTAATCATTCTCATTTTTCCTCTGGCAGTACAAAAAAACTCTTAATAGTTGTTAACATAATGCAAAACATTCCTTCCCTTGGGAGCCTGGATCATGGTTGTTGTGTTGTTTTTTTAAAAAATGGTATTAAGTCAAACAGCAAAACCATTAATGCATTATAATAGTAATTACTTCCAAACACAACTTTCTTTGAATACCAGACAGCTCAACATTATTCTTAAGCAAGTGTGTAAGAGGCACAAGGAATTTCCAAAGAATTAGCTCACAATAAAACCCTGTTTTTATTTCAAACAGCTGCAAGACCCTGTTAGGAGTATGTATTCAGACTTGTCTACACTCAAGGGAGAAATTTTTGCAGAACTTTGGTATCCAAAATATATCATACTTACAAAGCTACTTTCTTCTTCCTGTTTCATGAGCTACTCTGAGCTTCTCCAAAAACAAAGTGGGCATTTCTACCACCCTCCATAGACCTTTGCAACAACACTCCATGCCTGTCACCCAAAATTATGTTGTCATTATTTTTCTGTGTTCAACAGCAATACTTCTGCTTTGATCCAGCTGACCCAAGAGAAATTTTTATGCAGATGCTAATATTTGCATTTTCTATTTTGCCTTTGCTTTCAGTTCAACTTCTCTTTTCCTTGGAGGAAAGGCATTAACTTAAAGCATCCAAACCAATGCTTTTGTCTGCACTCTTTGAAAAGAGTCAAAGCACACACATGCGCTGGAAAAAAAAACAGCAGGCAAATGTTCAGTGAAGTTGAGAAAAGCCATGAAAACATTTCTCCCAAGGCTGCCTGGTTAGAAGCAGCTTCAATTCATTCACCCGGCTAGCTTGGAGATCTCTTCCCCTTATGTTGTGGGGACTGGTGGCAACTGGTGGACTTCAATTCCCAGAATTCCCCAGCCAGCCTGGCTAGCTGAGGTAATTTTGGGAGTTGATGTCCACAAGTCAAAGTTTGCTAAATTTGAAATCCCCGGCCTTAGCTTGTTTTAAGCTGTGGTATAATCCCACAGGTACATTCTGGGATTGCCCTAAAATTAAGCGGAATGCATGGACCTTCGGTTCAAAACCTAGGCACGTCTCAATCGTTAGCGAGTCCGTCAACTTAAGGTGCTTGCAAAATACAAATGTTGTATTTGTTTTCCAAGGCAGGATGGATCAGAAGGTTGGGTGCAAGGTTTTGCCTTGGATTTGGAAGAGCTGCTTCAGAAACCACAACTTCCTTAACTGTGTTACTAACTTAGCAACCACAGTGCTTCACTTAACAACAAAATGGGGGCAAAACTCACTTAACAACTGTCTTACTTAGCAACGGACATTTTGGCTCAATTTGTGGTTGCACTACCTGTGTTTCAAATGACCTGGAAGAGAAAGAATAATTTTCTACTGGCTTTGATCACCCCAGCAACTTTGGGACAGATGAACAGGCAGTTGGAAACTTTACAACGGGCAGCCAATCCACAATATGTTCTGAACTGCTTCTCCCTGAAAACTGGAGAAACCTTTTTAATGTTCTAGACCATCACCCGGAAGAAAAACGTAGGTTGGAATGACTGCTTGTGGCTCTCATCTTGATTAAATGAATAAAGTTCTTAAATCTTCCCTTAGACTAAAGGAGTAAGGCCCAGTTCAAGAGAAGGTACCATAGATCCCATGTTAAAAACAGAGGTGGTCTTCAGCAGGATCTGATCAGTTCTGGAGAACCGGTAGCGGAAATTTTGGGTAGTTCGGAGAACTGGCAAATACCACCTCTGACTGGACCTGCCCCCATCTATTCTCTGCCTCCCGAGTCCCAGCTGATCGGCTGGGTCTTCTTTGATTGCCCTGCACAGGAGAACGGAACTGGAAAGCAGGTTAGTGGGGTGAGAATGGGGATTTTGCAGTAACCTTCCCCCAGGAGTGGGGTGGGAATGGGGATTTTACAGTAGCTTTCCCCCAGGAGTGGGGAGGGAATGGGGATTTTACAGTATCCTTCCACTGCCACACCCACCAAGCCCTGCTCACAGAACTGGCAGTAAAAAAATTTGAATCCCACCATTGGACTTAAAACTTCAATTGTATGGAATTTTTATGGAGTCCAAAAGGCTTAGTGCAACGGTGAAGAGATTGGCTTACATCTAAACTCATCAAGTAAGGTCAGAGAGAAGCTTACATCTAAACTCATAAACGAATAGAGCAGACTGAATGTCTATCTTCAATTCTTGTTCCTTCAACTTTAACCTTGACACCATAAAGGTCATTCCACACTCCGGGAATGACCCAGAGGCATAAAACCCAGAGAGCTGGACTCTGCCAAGAGCTCAGAGTTGCTCTGAACCATGAGATGGGCAGTAAATAAATTTAATTCAAATCAACTTAATTTAATAGCTGGGTTCATAAGCAAGACAGCCAAGACGCACTTTTTTAAAAAGATGAAGACATTACTTTCCATCACCACCATCACACCCCAATCAAAACATGCCTGAAATGTCCCATTGTGTCCTGTATGAAGCTAAGCTGGCTGATTCAAAAGTGCACTGTGAAAATGAGACCCTCGGCCCAGAGTGCATCCCTACCAAGTGGCTGCAGGTGGCTGAAATTGTGCTATTTGCAGTGTTAAAAAACAAAAACGCACACAAAAAAAACCATGCCAAGATTCATCACACTTTGTCACACAGCAAAAATACCAAAATGCTCATTAGTAGACCGTTAAAATGATCAACATTGCCAGTGCTTTCCGTACCCCAAGAAAACCCTGCACGTTTTTTAAAAAAACTTTTAACGTTAACCAGCAATAATGTAAATTGAAATTATTTGTTTTTTTAAAATCAAATAGCTTTTTTCAAGGTCAAACAATTTTGCAAACTCTGGCAAGTTTACCTTCACTATTATAAGGTTGTCTCAGCCTTCCGTCCTTCCCAGGTCAGTAAAATGAGGACCCAGATTGTTGGAGGGCAATGTGCTGACACTGTTAACCACTTAAAGACGGCTATAAAAGCACTGTGAAGCAGTACATAAGTCTAAGTTCTATTGCTATTAAGCAACACGTGCTTAAATTAGTTGTGGGAGGGCTATTAGGAACCCTGCCAAATTGTCTGTCCTGACTCCAAACCCCAAAAGGATTGAAAAATTCTCTCACACTTGTCCAGGACAAGTGAGTAAACAAAGAAAGACTTATAAGAAAGCCACAAAGCCTTTAAGGTGAAGGTAAAGGTTCCCCTCGCACATACGTGGTAGTCGTTTCCGGCTCTAGGGGGCGGTGCTCATCTTTGTTTACAAAACTGAAGAGCCAGCGCTGTCTGAAGACGTCTCCGTGGTCATGTGGCCGGCATGACGAAACGCCGAAGGTGCACGGAATGCTGTTACCTTCCCACCAAAGTGGTGCCTATTTTTCTACTTGCATTTTTTTAACATGCTTTCGAACTGCTAGGTTGGCAGAAGCTGGGACAAGTAACGGGGAGCTCATTCCATGACGCGGTGCTAAGGATTTGAACCGCTGAATTGCCGACCTTTCTGATCGACAAGCTCAGCGCCTTAGCCACTGAGCCACCACGTCCCCTTACAAAACAAAGCCTTGCAGGGTAGCTTTAAAATCTGGGTAACCATGAATACTAGGAAGGACCTCCTATGTCTCACCCTACGGTGGGTACGGCAATGTTGATGTGTACCAAAGTGGCATCAGCGTTGATGAGTGGGAGGGTCATGTGAAGCCCAGCCTCCGCCTGCAGCTCTGAAGATGTGCATCAGGCAGGGATGTTCATGTGATGCATCCTAAGCAGCCAGTGAGGCTCTGACAAGCCAGACAGGTGGAAATGCGGTGGGCCAGGCAGGCAGGCAGGCACAATGCTCTCACCTCCTGGGGGGGTCACCTTCAGGTAGAGAAGCCATCTTCCCAGAGCTCTGGTACAAGCTTTTCAGGAAAGAAGGGGCAGAGAAAGAAGAAGGGAGACTGGGCAGCACCGAAGACTCACTCTCACTGCGCGTACGTCGGGCAACTGCCGGCCTGGCAGTGGGCAATAAGAAAAAAGGAGAGCAGTAAGTTCTAGTCCAGTCTTTAAGAGAGGCCCAATCAGAGGTGGCCTTCAGCAGGTTCTGACCAGTTCTGGAGAACCAATAGCAGAAATTTTGAGTAGTTCCGAGAACCAGCAAATGCCACCTCTGACTGGCCCCGCCCCCATCTATTCTCCGCCTCCCGAATCCCAGCTGATTGGCTGGGTCTTCTTTGGTTGCCTTGCACAGAAGAACGGAGCTGGAAAGCAGGTTAGTGGGGTGGGGCGGGAATGGAGATTTTGCAGTAACCTTCCCCTGCCACGCCCACCAAGCCACGCCACGCCCACCAAGCCACACCCACAGAACCTGCTTTGAATCCCACCCCTGGGCCCAATCTCTCATCTACATCCACTGCAAAAAAGGCAAGAGTTAACCTGAGTTGCAACGGGGCGTTATCACCGAAAGAGCATGCCAATGAGGTTTAGGACAACTCTCCACAGCCAACTCACTGCGGTCAACACACCGCGGCCCACTTGCCATGGGCCAACTCACTGCAGGGCAATTCAATGCCGTACTGTTTCTTTCGGTTCCTTTTATTATTGGTGACTACATTTTCGTCGAAATTATTGTGAACGCTTGAATTTCTGGGTGGACTTTATTTTATTATTATCATTAGCTGTGGTTCCATTGAAATTAATTTAATTCTTCTGTTTACAAAGATGAATCTTTGTAGCTCAGGATTGAAATGAGGGGTCCTTGGCGGCCTCTTGAGCTTGCTCGTTTTCTTGCAGACGTTTCATTGCCCTAACTAGGTTGTATCTTCAGTGCTAGAAGGAGTGGGATTTGCAGGGAGGAGGAGGAGGAGGTAAGGGGGAATTGTGGAGTCCTTGGCTTGCCTGTTTTCTTGCAGATTACCCAAACTAGGCAATATATTCAGTGCCGGAAGGAATGGGGCTGGCAGAGAGGAGGAGGAGGAGGAGGAGGAGGAGGAGGAGGAGGAGGGG